TCAGTAGGACATCGACGTTTCAGTTGAGGTGGGTGTTTTATATCTGCTAACATTTGTCTGTGAACTTACCAGAACAACAGACTCAAGATTACGATGATGGTCACGACACCCAACGGTTCGGACAGTTCAACGTGCTGAGATGGTAAGCTGTCATCGACGGGAGCCCTTCATATCTGATTTATCAATCAGTTACCTTTCAGGCTGCCAGGAAAGCGCTCCTCACTGTTCAAGATCGACCCAATTTCAGTGTGTGGTTATGTGGGTCGAGTGTGATGCGCAAATTACGTATACTTATCTTGGGCTTTCTATTAGGGCAACGGGAAACGACATAATTATGGAACATCGATTTTGATTCAATCACCCCACCAGCGACAAACCTTTGTCCGAGACTGGTTGGAAGGACATCTGGACACCTACATGACCTCTACACCAGCCATGACGTCGGCGAACTGGAACTACAAATCACCCTTTATTATCGTCCATGGATGCTCCTCGAGGTGATCCCCACCTCAACCCCCTTTTTGATAACGGTCATATAGAACTCAACCTTTTGTTTTGTGCTGTGAATCTAAAGCAAAGACATCTACGGGTCCAATGTCGCAAATGGTGCATATTCCTCGCTTTTCATTTCAATGGACTCAATAGCAACCAGCTACTGCTCAAGCGCTCACAGGTGATACCGTCACATCCTCTGACAGTCACACCGAGCGCCTTATCACACACCATCACTCTTGAAACGAGGCTAAAATTTCTATATCAATTGGTCTTCCCTCATGCCTGCCGTTCAAAGCATGTTCCAAGCGCTAAGCATCTCCCTTTCACCAAAACCACCATGACTACCGCGAGGGGTGGCTCAACGGGAAGCCCCAGCATTGAGATTACAGGTAACCTCTCAGATTTTTGCCCCAGGTCAAACATCTGACACCCATTGACTAGAAATCTGTGTTTCATCCCAGTATATCCTCAAATCGGTCCAGCTTTCGATTGGATCGTTCAAACGGGAATCACCCTGTCTCCTGGATGCAAAGACTCACGCATTTGAGTTGTCATCCCCCTGGTGAGCCGATGATCATGTGTAGCATTGGACGATAAACCTAGTCAACGCAGTCAACTTTCGCCTTCGGAGCCCCTCTATCTGCAAGTCCGATTCCGCGGATTGTTTCGTGCTGCGTCAAAGAGCCAGATACCTCTTGATGAACTGCTAAGCAAGGTCGGCCCCCACTTCTCCGGAAAACAAGGCAAGTGCCTCCCTTCTGCAATCGCTCCTGTCTTGCTGATGCAGGACTTTCTACTCTAGAATGGTCAAAATCATTTGACAAGTTCGATGTCATCTTGAAGTTTAGCCAATATGCAGGGGTGTGTGCACTTCTATCTCAAATGCAAAAGCGTCCGCGTAATGCGGGTATCGATCTTAAAATGCTTTAACCAAGGCAGAACCTGCGACGAGTGGCGACCTACAACCCACAACGGATGAGTTATTCAAGTTGGTCGAACGGTCAGTCTGCTTAATCCCCGACTACTGTGGCTTACCTTTCCGCTAGGTTCCGAGTCCTAGTCATCGGCAACGTAGTTCTCTCATGCCTCTATCCTCAGGCATTAGCTTACAGTTTGTTTTTACAGAGTGGTGTAGGGAAATCTTCCCTTATCAACGAATGCTTCGGCGTCAAGGATGCTATGAGGCCACTTCCCTGTCTTCTCAAAATCCACTCCTAAAGCTTGTCCTTCCCCAGACCGTGGCTCATTCAAAGGCTGGCGTGTCAAATATCAATACTCCAATTATAGCCAGCGAAAACAGAAGATTTGTTCTACACGACAGTCAGGGCTTCGAGCATGGGGAGGGTGACAACTTCAAGAAAGTCGTTGATTTTTTGAAAGCTCGGAAGGACATGCCCAATGTGAGGGATCAGGTACATGCTGTCTGGTATGTTTTCCACTCCTCGATCACTTGAGTGAGCAAGATGATGAAGGTGTTGCGCAGGCTTTGTTTCCAAGTATCCTTGTCTGAAGGTAATCGTTTGTTCGAGGCTGGGGTGGAAGAGTTATTCCGTATGAAGTTGGTAGGACAGGTTGAATTTGGTAACAATCTCAAGTTTCAAAAACGCAACAAACATTTGGATGCGGAAACCCGAAATGCATGTCTTGCTGAAGAGGCCAGAGCAAAGTTCCAAGAATTGTGCATTGGTCCCTTTGAAAAGGTTGTTGATAAAAACATTCCGCACATCCCCGTCTCAAGTAAGTTGCGAAGAGATTTCTGGGGCTTGTCCTTACATTTGCCAACACAGCTACTAAAGGATACAAAGATACCAGAAAGATGTTGAACGAGCTTGTCCGTCTCACTACTGACTATGTTAAAAACACGCTGGCGGTCGACGTTGCTGGAGATGTTGCACTAGTCTCTGCCATTGCTCAACGCGTGAATCCAGCTGTGAAGATTGATGCGGTGATTGCGTGAGCACTTAAACACATGTCTTTTTAATGCAATGCTGACACCCATTTCAAGAGTTGGGAAGAAGCGTATGAATCTTCTAGTGTCCCTCAGTGAAAGTTCAACTAATCTGCTCTCTCTCCGTTAGGTTATTGGATGGATCTCGCGGCTAGTGCAAAATTTCTGGGCAACACTATAGAAGAATGTCAACGGGTTCTACATACTGATATCGTTCAAGTGTGGAACATTCAGGATGATTGTGGGGTAAATATTTTATCATCACTCCTCTTCTCACTTATAATTATGGAAATTATGCTGCTAGTATCTGGAAAGCAAGGAACTGAAAAAGTTGATGATCGAACTTGTTGGGAATCAAAATGACCAGCTGTCAGATTCGACAAAGTGGATATTCAATGTGTACGAGCAATCATATGTCTTCCTCGCAATGCCATGTTAAACACTAAATGGGAAAACCTCAGTGCACTCATGCTACAACATTTAATGGCGTACATCGTTGACTTCACGATTATTATGCAAGTAATTTTTGGCCTGGTGGTGAACGCCCGTTTGCGCCTTTCCCGCCGCTTGATCAAGCTTGTCTTTACGGCCTACAACATTTCAGAGGAAAGGAGCAAAGTTCACAAGGAGGTTAAGGAACATGTGAAGCTGGCAGGCTGCTTTGACTGGGATGCAGCTCTGGCAAAGATCATTCAATTGATCAAGGAGTATCAGATGAAACCCGAGAGTATGGACAAGCTACAAAGTGCAGTTGAGATGTTCGAGAACAATGACGACGAGGATTGGGGCATAGGCAAAGCGTGACGTTATCATTTGATTCCCTGTGTACTTATGTGGGCCGATTTAACGGGATCTCCCGGATCCCCGCCGCTTTCGGAAGGTGCACGTGACCACGTGACCTGGCGCGTCGCGCAAGAGGTGTCAGATCCGCCGATCACAGAAATCGATGATGTCATACCCTCTCCCCCCCCACCCCCCCCAAATAAGGCGATTCATGTGGTATGTTTGGTAAACGGCAGGACGGCAAGGAAATAGCGGCATCACACAAACCCTCAGCATCTTATCCGACCTGAACAACGCAAGACGCATCCTCCTCAACAAATCCTTCTCATCATCATGGCGTCTCGATAATGTATATAGTGTATAGGCTTGCCACTAATTCAAGAACCAACACCCCCATTATCAACTTGTCAAGGCTCTGCAATTTGGTGGAGGCTCACCATATCAAACCTACCCATTCTCTATCCACGACCCCAATTCTTGTTTCAAGCTTGGGTGTACTCTTCTTTTCATCGATCCTACCAGCTCTCATATATATGTGCGCTCCCCTTTTTGCACTGGATCGTCGCCAACTCCAATCCCGCTGTCCCTGTTTGTCATTACTTGTCAGCATCGTTCTCGATCGTGCTCGGAGACCTGTGGGGAACTCGACCTTACCACTCTGAGCTACACTTAGCTCGGACAGCAGCTTGATTCAGCACGAAAAAGTTGAAGAAGGAGCAAACGACGGTGCGTGGTGTCGTGAGCTTAGATAATCTTTTTCTAACCCACGAATACCTGTTCAACACTCGCAAGGCACTTTCTTGCCTCCGCGCCCACAATAAAACCTGGCGTACACTCCTTGACCTTTGTGGTACTGAAGACATCCTTGGCCTACCACACATTTTCAAGATTTCGAAACTTTCCCAATTCTTAGCGCTCGATTCTGCCAAATCTCGTGCAAAGCAACCAGTCACACAAACAACGCCATTAAATCGCATTCGAACTGTTCGTAACGTTCAAGAGCATTCCCCACAACGACCACGACGAGCTCCTTTTCCGAGTCCATGTCCCTCTCCAACCTTTCCATCTACCAATTTTGAGTCCCCAGCTTTTACAGTCACAGTATAATCTACCCTCAAAGACCCCACCTATCCCTTTCATTGATTAACATTACTTGCCCTCTGTTAATTCCATATCTATGTTATATGACAATCTTCATATCTATCTTACACTTATCATGGCCCAATGCCTTCGTTGATCGCTTAAGGCTGCCGCTGATATGCCGAACCTCGGAAACTACTGATGGCAGGGTCACTCCAACGATCAAACCTCCAAGATCGGTGGATCTGACACCTCTTGGCGTCGTGTCCTTCTCCCATTTCTCCTCCTCCCCCGCCGCTTCGACCCGCCGCTTTGTCCCCTCCCAAAATTTAGCTTGTAGTGCACCATTTTGTATTTATTATACATCAAAATGCTATTTTTTTCCCAGTTCCGGCTTTCCTTTGAGCAAATATGCAGCCTTTGTCCAAAATGGACCTTGCGGCGCGTCCTTGATTGGGGCCTGGGTGCTGTTGAATTTTCGGGAAAAATACATAAATTCCATAATGCCTCCAATGCATCTGCAGCTACATATCTACCGCTTTTTTTGCTCTTTAGGGGGATGTTTGATAGGTGGTTTGCTGCAAGGACCTGAAAATAAGTGGGATAAGTACACATAAGTCGGCATAAGTGCTTATGCACGATGGATTTAGCTTAAATCAAGTTCAATTTAGTGGATTTAAGGCCCTGTGATGCCAACCAGCTCAATTTAATGTGCATTTCCATGAGCTGGCCTATCCCTGCACCCGATTTAAGGGTTTTTCGGCTCAGGGACCTAACCCTCTGCTATATCACATCAGCTGAATGTTTGTGTTCCGTCATTGAGCCTTAAATTCATGTAATGCACATAATATTTGCAGGTAATAATATTTACATGAGATGTAGTATACTAGGGCGGCAAAAAAGAACTTTCAGAACTAAACCTGGCCTTCCATTTCCCCAGACTGACGAGATCTTCGAGAGCGCGCCTCAACATACGTGGGAGAGCACAGGAGTCAGGTGGAAGGAGGGCCACATGGAGAGGTTTGAGCGTGAGGCGGGGATGGTGCGTGGTGGTATGGTGAGGTAATTTCGGGTGCTGCTCGCTTTGGAGAAGGAGGGCAGGCAATGCAGGTGCCAGTCGTGATGATGGAAGGGGGACGGCTGGAGATGAGTGGGGCGAATGGGTTGCTTGTGAGACGGATGGACTGGGTAGGTTCGGATGGGCTCCAAATATTGCGTCGGGTGTGGGTTGAGGCATCAGACTCGGGACAATATGGGTGAGAGGCGATGTCGTGATGAATTTGCATGGTGACTGTTGATGGGAGAGACGCTAAAAAGCGCGGGAAACGATGGGTGTGGAGAGTGAGTGTGGGCTGTTGTGCGTGTGTGCAGTAAATCATGGAAAGTATATATTATCAGTCAATGCATTGTAGCATTGAATTTTCAGACGTACCTCATAGATCACCCGCTTCACGGGCCTTCTCTTGTGTTCCATCTAATCCCCACTGCCCGATGTATGTTGCGGTGCATCGTTTCCCATTCCAACGCGCTACGCGCAAATCATGCTCGACTGCACAAACGCGATGGCCTCTTGAAGGCGAGAACACGATGGGAGCTGGGCTTCACGTGGCGTAGCGTTGAGCGTGTTGCCTGGAGGGGGTTGGCCGCAGCAAGAGGGGGTCGAGAGATGGAGGCGAGAGGAATGGGATGGAAGTCAGGGTAGAAGGGCTTTGGAAGAAAATGATTTCTCACGGAAAACAGAATCCGGTGACAGGCGCAATTTATCGAATTTAACATTCAGTGGCTTACAGCAAGATGCAAAAACGTAGACACCTCTCCAAATTTCCCAGACTCCGCCTTGCTTTGTACAAACAACCGCATTTGGTGCAACTCCGCCGCACGACGGGTCATAGTGACTTCATGGCGCTTGCATGGTGCACCATTTTATTATATATACTCCTACAAATATGGTACTTCTATATAATTTCTCTTTTCCCATCTACAAATATGTCAGGGAACTACCGCTTTATATCTGCCGAACAAAAACGGCATCTCATTGTTACGAGGGTTGATAGGAAATGACATAGATGAGACGCTAGCGAATGCACGAAGTGGAGGTTGGTGGAGCGAGAACAGAATGCTTGCGTCACTCACACCCGCTCATTTCCTAAAGCAGTTGTTTGTACAAAGCGAGGCGGAGTCTGGGAAATTTGGAGAGGTGTCTACGTTTTTGCATCTTGCTGTAAATCGAGTGAAATAATTGTACTTACTTTGTTGTCTGGATGCATGTGCCATAATCCGAACAAAAATGAACTGCGAAGCTGATGCGTCGACGGGAGAGTGCAAGTGTGCCACCAACTCGAACAAAACAAGCCAGTAGTATGAGACCCCGGGCATTGGAATAGGACCAAGAGCTGGTGCGATGATTGAATGGAGGACTTGCGCGAAAGGCAGTAACGCGACTTTCAAAAAAAGGTACTTCAACCTGTACAACACCTGTCCCCTATGGGAACCCAACAGACGTTTCTTTCTGAACGCGAGAGATGACAGGGCTGAAAATCCCTTAGGATCCCTAGCGAGTCACTGGCTCGGACTCCGACCGAGTGAATAGAACATCGTAGTCACCGAAAGACGAGTAACGACTGCAGATGATGAGCTACTCGATTGATATTCGATATGTTCATCGACCGCTCTGTGCAACCTGTTCAATGGCCCCAACAAAGGCTCGGAGGTGAATCCGATCATGTATCCCGTTGGGGGACGTTCGTGAATTTTTGATTGTTCTTGTGGCTATAAATCAGAAAGGTGGTCAAAGGTTCCAAGTTCCAAGTACTCACCTGGTGGGGGGTCCGAACTGTACACCAAGAAGCTGGACGTCAAACACGGACTCGTAAATTAAAAATTTAAGAAGATTGTGGGGGACGTGACTCATTGTGGATGTCCCAGGTTTCAGATTTCCCTATTCTCCTCTCTTGTTCGCAGTTGTAAAGGACACTGCAAGGCTTCGAATGGTTTGTGGGGATTGTTGCTGGTTTTGTAGGTGTTCGCTGGGATTGGATAGGTATAGGCGACGAGCGAATCACGACGTCACGTTTCTCCAACATTTCTCTCCTCTTCGTACAACGCCTGTTCA